CAGACACACACTCTCTCTCACACACACAGACACACACACTATCTCTCACACACACAGACACACACACTCTCTCACACACACACAGACACACACACACACAGACACACACACTCTCTCTCACACACACAGACACACACACAGACACACACACTATCTCTCACACACACAGACACACAAACTCTCTCTCACACACACACACACACAGACAAACACACACACACACACAGACACACAAACTCTCTCTCACACACACACACACACAGACACACACACTCTCTCTCTCACACACACACACACACACACAGACACACTCTCTCTCACACACACACACACAGACACACTCTCTCTCTCACACACACACAGACACACACACTCTCTCTCTCACACACACACACACACAGACACACACACTCTCTCTCTCATACACACACTCTCTCTCACACACACAGACACACACACACACACTCTCTCTCACACACACTCTCTCTCTCACACACACACACTCTCTCTCTAACACATACACACAATCTCTCTAACACACTTACTCTCTCTCTCTCTCTCACACACACACACTCACACAGACACACACACACATTCCCATCTGAAACTCACCTTCATTACAACACACAGCCCTTAATCCCACACAGACACACACTCATACTGCCTGTGTGTGTCTGTGTGTGTGTCCGTGTGTGTGTCCATGTGTGTGTGTGTGTCCGTGTGTCCATGTGTGTGTGCGTGTGTCCATGTGTGTGTGTGTGTGTCCATGTGTGTGTGTGTCCATGTGTGTGTGCGTGTGTCCATGTGTGTGTGAGCGTGTGTGTGCGTGTGTCCATGTGTGTGTGCGTGTGTCCATGTGTGTGTGAGCGTGTGTGTGCGTGTGTCCATGTGTGTGTGAGTGTGTGTGTGCGTGTGTCCATGTGTGTGTGTGTGTGTCCATGTGTGTGTGAGCGTGTGTGTGTGTGTGTCCATGTGTGTGTATGCACGTGTCTGTGTAGTGTAAACACAGCCCCCCCTCATCCCACTTTTCACCCCTCATTACCCCCTCTCTCCTTCAAGAGCCCGCCCCCCCGGACCTGCCCCGGAACAAACATATGGGCTCGGCCAATCTCACACTCAGCAGAATCAACAAGACTGAGTATAGCACTGAGTACTGCACTGAGTACTGCACTGAGTACTGCACTGAGTACTGCACTGAGTACTGCACTGAGTACTGCACTGAGTACTGCACTGAGTACTGCACTGAGTACTGCACTGAGTATAGCACTGAGTATTGCACTGAGTATTGCACTGAGTATTGCACTGAGTATAGCACTGAGTATAGCACTGAGTATAGCACTGAGTATAGCACTGAGTTTAGCACTGAGTATAGCACTGAGTTTAGCACTGAGTATTGCACTGAGTATAGCACTGAGTTTAGCACTGAGTATTGCCCTGAGTATTGCACTGAGTATAGCACTGAGTATAGCACTGAGTATTGCACTGAGTACTGCACTGAGTACAGCACTGAGTATAGCACTGAGTATTGCACTGAGTATAGCACTGAGTATAGCACTGAGTATAGCACTGAGTATAGCACTGAGTATAGCACTGAGTATTGCACTGAGTATAGCACTGAGTATAGCACTGAGTATAGCACTGAGTATAGCACTGAGTATAGCACTGAGTATTGCACTGAGTATAGCACTGAGTATAGCACTGAGTATAGCACTGAGTATTGCACTGAGTATAGCACTGAGTACTGCACTGAGTATAGCACTGAGTATAGCACTGAGTTTAGCACTGAGTATTGCACTGAGTATTGCACTGAGTACTGCACTGAGTATAGCACTGAGTATAGCACTGAGTATAGCACTGAGTATAGCACTGAGTATTGCACTGAGTATTGCACTCAGTATAGCACTGAGTATAGCACTGAGTATAGCACTGAGTATAGCACTGAGTATAGCACTGAGTATTGCACTGAGTATTGCACTGAGTATTGCACTGAGTATAGCACTGAGTATAGCACTGAGTATTGCACTGAGTATAGCACTGAGTATAGCACTGAGTATAGCACTGAGTATTGCACTGAGTATAGCACTGAGTACTGCACTGAGTATAGCACTGAGTATAGCACTGAGTTTAGCACTGAGTATTGCACTGAGTATTGCACTGAGTACTGCACTGAGTATAGCACTGAGTATAGCACTGAGTATTGCACTGAGTATAGCACTGAGTATAGCACTGAGTATTGCACTGAGTATTGCACTCAGTATAGCACTGAGTATAGCACTGAGTATAGCACTGAGTATAGCACTGAGTATAGCACTGAGTATTGCACTGAGTATTGCACTGAGTATTGCACTGAGTATAGCACTGAGTATTGCACTGAGTATAGCACTGAGTATAGCACTGAGTATAGCACTGAGTATACACTGAGTATAGCACTGAGTATAGCACTGAGTATAGCACTGAGTATTGCACTGAGTATTGCACTGAGTATAGCACTGAGTTTAGCACTGAGTATAGCACTGAGTACTGCACTCCCATAGTGACAGACGCACTGGTCCTTCAGGCAACGGATAAAGTGAAAGAGAGTGGATGGTTGAAATGGATCCAGATTCAGACAACTTTAGATCCAGGACTGAGGCTGTAGACCCAGGACTGAGACTGTAGACCCAGGACTGAGACTGTAGACCCAGGACTGAGACTGTAGACCCAGGACTGAGGCTGTAGACCCAGGACTGAGACTGTAGACCCAGGACTGAGACTGTAGACCCAGGACTGAGGCTGTAGACCCAGGACTGCCACAGTTTACCTCATTGTGACAGAAACATAAATATTTCACATTTCCAACACAATGAACCCAAAGTATGTTTCCAAAATCTCTACTTTTACCGTTTGTCTCGTCTGGACTCAGAGGAGGTCAATATTCCATCTGCTCTGAAGCCTTTTATGACAGTGGCGTGACCTATTCTGCCGCTGCTCCTTTTTCCCTTCATTGTTGGCGCGTGGCGTTTTGTCTGCCGCTGTATGGGAACACGATGGGGTTGTGTGCCGGCGTGCGTGGCCTTGGCGGGGGGTGGAGAGTGGTCCTCGGCGGCCTCGGGAGCTGATCGGCGAGGAGCGGGGCGCGTGGCGTGGAAGGAAAAGGAAAAAAAGGCGGCAGGTGTTCTGTTCAGAGATGAGAATAGAGCGGCGGAGAATGCGGGTCGAAAACATGCTAAAAATATGTCCGATTGTTCCTCAGGTGGTTAAAGTCAGCGCCGCTCGGACCAGGCTCGGTTCTTCTCTTTGTCCAGCTCTCTCCAAACCAGGAGAGTGTTTTGCTCTGGCGTTTTGAGTTTCAGAACGGGGCTGGGAACTCATTTTGAATCAGAATAATTTTTGTTGCCGTGTAAGAAACCGACTGGAAAGTGAAGTCAGTTTGATATGTTTTGGACCATAGTTTGGCACTTTACAGCTGCTAAAGTCTGGGACCATCTTCTTGAAAATGTGAGACAGGCTTCTTCTCTGACAATGTTTACATCCAGGTTTAAAACAGTTTATTGTTTTTAATGTGATTATTAATGATATATACAATTAAACTTGCCTCGGACGCTCAAAGTCTCTTCACATCATTATCCATACACTGTGGTTATAAACTACTGTAGCCACAGCTGCCCTGGGGCACACTGACAGAAGCCCCTCCCACCACCACCAACCATTCACACACACAACAGACTCGTTCTAATGTGGGGGAAGTGTTTTGCCCAAGGACACAACGGCAGCAGACATCAGTGGGAGTCAGTGGAGGAGGTCTTCAGGTGGACTCGAACCCACAACCTTCAGGCTCAGGTTTTATTTCTGTACTTTTAGCCTGTTTTACCCAAGTGCATTTCTTACCACAGTGTTTTTAACAGGATTACTTTACTTAAAGCTGCACTGACTTTATTGTTGTATTCATTACTAAAGTCTGTCCATGTCCTGCAGTGCTTTGGATAAACGTCCTTTTGAAGACAAAGTAGAGCAGGGTTGTGCTGGCCTGGCATTTTATTTTATATCGAGTTTCGATGAAAGAAGGAAGAGAATGTGTTTTGGGTCTCTGATTCTGACCAATCACAGCGGACCACTGACCCCCACTTTCGTGAGAAATCTACAGGTCCGTTAGCATAGACGGCTGAGTTAGCACAACAAGCTGCGGAGCTAACCTGAAACTTCCTCGTCTTCGTCACCGGATACTGCTTACACAGCGAGACAGCCAAAAGAAAGTCTCGTTCCTCCGCACTTCCCGGTTCTATCGTTCTATGGTCACGCCATCCACGTGCAAATCCATATCCATGTATTATCCATATTGAGAGACGCTAGCTCCGTGTGTGTGGGGGGCGATAGCTCCGTGGGTGTGGGGGGCGATAGCTCCGTGGGTGTGGGGGGCGATAGCTTCGTGGGTGTGGGGGGCGATAGCTTCGTGGGTGTGGGGGGCGATAGCTCCGTGTGTGTGGGGGGCGATAGCTCCGTGGGTGTGGGGGGCGATAGCTTCGTGTGTGTGGGGGGCGATAGCTTCGTGGGTGTGGGGGGCGATAGCTTCGTGTGTGTGGGGGGCGATAGCTCCGTGGGTGTGGGGAGGGAAGCAGAAAGAGCGAGGCCAGTGAGTCCACGGCTTCAAAATCCCAAAGTAAGTTAGTGCAGCTTTAACCATGCTTGTGTAGGTTTCCTCCGTGTGCTCCGGTTCCTAACACTAAAAACCAATAAGTGACAGTTGTTTGAGGCTGTGGCACAGTCCCATCCAAGTGGCCAGTTTCATTCCTGTACTGTTTCTGTGTATTTGTCTTCTGTACTTGTACAATAGAATGTATTGTTGTATAGCCCTAGGTCACAACAGCATCATCTCAGAGACTTAACAAAACCATTGAAATCACCAACACAGGTCAGAGAATCAACAGTTAAAACACATGAAGAATATAAAGCACACACAGAAGAAAATGTCCATACATGTTGTAGAATGCTAAAGTGTCCTGGATCATCACCAATCCTTTCTG